GCTACCAAAACATCTGAAAGATCATACAAAAGCAAGAGATGTTTTGCATTTATTAGGGTTGATGGCTTTTTGTATAGCATTGATGCCAAATGCCCGTTCATACATGCGTCAAATTATATTAAATCTCTTTTTTTTTTTTGGAGACCTGCAGTACAATATTATAAAAATAAAGAATCCCTTAAGAAATCCCAACAAGTCAAATTTGAAAATGTTCAAGTTAACCTTCAAATTTCCAAAACCCACTTACATCACATGTCAAATCTCATCTAGTATGGTGGCAACATCCAGCAAACATAATGAGGGATCGATCACTTCTTCAGTTTGTGGGGGACGTAGTTCTTACAACAGATGCTTCGAAGACCATGTTTGGAATAATTTGGGGACAGTTATGTTCCGGGGTCGTTGACCAGGAAACAATCAAGACACCATATTTATTTGTTGGAAATGATGGCAGTTATTTTATACCTGAAACATTTTGTAAAAAAAATCAAGATACAATGGTATCCGTATTTGTTGGATTTAGCAATAGCCAAACCACTCAGGTTTAAACTTTTCCCGAAACGTTTGTCACAACCAAAAACGCGAATTCTACAATCCGAAAATCTTCAGTCTGGCAGTCTGACCTATGTCCTTAGACGTTTCAATAAGATTGGCTTTTCTTAAAAGTCTAAAGAAAGTACTTATTGCCGCTTGGCGAACAAGAAATCGTAAAGATTATGTCAGTAAATTCAAATTGTACAGAAGCTGGTGTAACACAAGGCAAATAAATCCCTATAGCGCAACTATAATAAAGATTGCAGATTTTATTGTCCTTTCAGTAAAATTCTAGAATATAATACTAGTTATGGGTATAGACCCATGCGGTTCTACCCTGTATTTATAACCATAAAATGGGTCAACATCCTTATCAAAACCAGCTTTTAAAAGGGGTGTTCAATCTTAGACCACCAAAAATGAAATTAGTTCCCGAGTATATCTAATAAAGGTTTAAGAATATGATAAACAAGATCAACAAGGAAAGGCGGCGTTCAATGAACGCAACCCTCATATGACCCAGCCACAAGAACCAGTAGCAAGGAGCCCGGGCGGACCAGCCTAACAAAACAAACATTTTTGAATATTTGAATAAGGCTTTTATAAAAACGGTTTTTATGCACCCGGGCATATAGTAATTGAAGCTCCCGCACGTTCGTCTGTCCATACAAGGATAGCCTTAAACGGCAAGATGGATATTTCTCAAGTTCTACATATACTATGGCTTCATACATTTCACACTTACTTATCAACACATAGTACATGATTTAGGCAAGTGACATAACTATGGCTTTCATTTCATTTTACCAAGTTATTGCTCTTTTCAGCACTTAGAAAATGAATAATTGGTTAACTTTAAAAGGGAAGTTGGATATATCTTAAGTTTTATCTATACTAATGGCGTAATAATTACCACAATTACTTATCTATTCAAAGTACATGATATTGCCAAGTTATATAACTGTGCCATCCATTTTTCCCAGTTATTTCCCTTTTTATCTCTTTGAAAATAGGGCCTTGTATGGTTAAGGTATTCCGGCAAGTTGGATTTATTTTAAATATCTCTTTCATTCCTTTAATGATATCTTTGATATTTGGTAGGTGGATACCTGAAGTGGTCCATTAATTTTTAATGGAGTAAAGGATCTCCTGGTGTAAAAAACAAAAACAAATTTAAACAGTTTTGCTCATACAGCCTTTAATTTTTAGTTGATGTCATTCATGTTTAATACAAACTGCTGGGGAACGTCCTCTTCCTGTAGGTTTAGTTAGGGGTTATTTGGGTTAAGGTCAAGGTCACCAATGTCAAAATCCTTATTCTTTTGACAGATGTCTCTTATATTTGGAAGGATCATAAAATTTGGGTATTTTTCGGATGGAGTAAGGGGTTAGTTGGGTCAAGGTCACCAGTGTTAAAAATAGATGTTTACACTTTTGCTCAAACAACCTGTATTTATTGACAAATGTATTTCGTATCTGGTAGGAATATAACTTTCATGGTATTCTTCCTTTGAATGGAGTTAGGGGTCAGTTGGGTCAAGGTCACCAGTGCTAAAAAATATTTTTACACATTTTCCTGTACAACCTTTATTTATTAACAGATGTATTTCTTATTTGGTAGGAAGATAACTTACCTTTTACTCTTACTTTTGATTGAGGTAGGGGTCAGTGTGTCAAGGTAAGGATGCTAAAATATATTTCTACATGCTTGCTTCTTTTGCCTGATGTTTTTTTATTATATTTGGTAGGATGATAATTTGTATGGTCGTCTTCCTTTGGATTGAGTTAGGGGTCAGTTAATTGCTAAAAATAGATTTCTTTTTACTTTTGCAAATAAAGCCTATATTTATTGACAGATATCTTTCATATTTGGTTGGAAGTCAACTTGTGTTTAACAAACACGTTCTTTTTATTACTTCTTTAAGGAGGTTCATTGATCTTCAGTCATTTCATCAAGGAAAATTGGAAAATTCAAAGTAAAAGTATTACATTTTAGGGCATTGTTTGGCTAAAGAAAATAAAAGTCTCAGGTTTTAATCCGGCGTTTCCAGAAAAAAAGAAGAAAAACTAGATCCAAAGAGAAGTTTAAATATGGAAGCGTGTTTTTTTTTTTTTTTTTTTTTTTTTTTTTTTCTTTTTTTTTTTTTTTTTTTTTTTTTTTTTTTTGCTAAAGATTTGAAAATAGAAAGGAACATATTTACATTTTTGCAAGAAAGTACTTAGATTGAAAAAGACCACAAAATGATTTTATTTAGGGTGAACTAGGTAGATTTAGTTTTAAGACTGTATTGTTTGATTTTATTAACCTGTCAATTCCATACTGATTATACGGTCAATGCACAGAATATATTAATATTCGATAAATGTTCGGTAAATTCCGTGAGATTTAAGCAGTAAGATATGATTAAATTCGTCTGGTTTCTATGCATTAGTGACACTGACCTTTATAGCGCAATAGGGTAAACTACGGGTATATAATTTCTAAATGTCCTACGTGATGTAAGATCGAGACAGCGTATGTCCAGGTATTTTTTTCTTATTCATAATTATTTTCAACATTTGCGCTTTTTTTATACTATACTTTTGTATATATCATTGTTAAAGAATTAATATTTTAAATTCATTCGGATTAAGATCAATAAATGTCATTTCAGTGCCGTAAAATACAAAACGTGACAATTCAGTGTTTCTTAGTTGTTTCATATCTGTGTAGAAAATTTTGAAAGCGCTTGACCATTTTCATTATGATATACTTAAAAATAAAGAAAATATGTCTAAAAATAAGTGATGTCTTAAAAAGTGTCAAAAGAAGGGATCAAACTCGGACCTCTCATACATCACTTAACCGACTTTGCTATTGCGGATGCTACGAGCACTTACATTAAGCTAGTGGGAGTTTTCCGAACGTTAGCTATATACTCCATATTAATTTTCGTAAAATAAACGGACAAAACCGAAGTAGGATCGAATATTTAAATAAGTGCTATAATGTATTCATAATTGACAGGTCAATAAAATCAGACTATACACTTTTATAATATAATAAATTACCGAGTTAAAGTCGTACATACAGAAGAAAAGAAATATGTGTCTTTGGTATATAATATGCTAAAAGATGATCTAGTAAACGCATCGGATTAAGTAAATTGGTGCTCTTTGTAAAAAACTTATTTTGTTATGATGTATGACTGCAGCAAACTGTTGGTAATGGTAATTTTTGTCTCTAGGTAAACAAAGATTACACGATCAGTTCAAGCAGAATTGGCAAGATAGACTTGATAATTCTAGCAAATCATTGTTTTATCAAACTATTCCGAATTTAAGATTTCAACCATACTTACTTTACAAATAGTTAAGTTTGCCAGTCTTTTGCTAGATTAGGAGTTTCGTCACATAGACTGCAAACAGAAGCAGGTGAAATGCTGACTAAAAATTCATATAAAAGGCCAGTGTGTTGTTACACAGTACCATTCTGTTAACAACATTTAACACTGGAAACTTATTTTACTATTCTTTCTTCATTTTTCAAGGTAAGCATTTCATATATTTATTATTGTCAATTTTTTTCTGTAGCTTAGTATATTGATTTTAAATGATTCTTAAACAATTCTTTAAAAAGTTGTTTTTATCAATAATTTGTTGACAACCTCTCACTAAGCAATTTTCCCCATACGTTCTTGTATTTTCATTATCTTCTTATGTTTAATATAAATGTTTTATTTTATATTTTGTAAATTATTACTTCTTTCTAATATTTTGTCACTTGTATTATTATGTTTAAATTCATAAAGTGTAATGTTCTTTCAGTTCTTTTCATTATTGTTCACATACATTTTGTTATCATGATTATTCATTATTTTTCTCATGTTTGTATTCATCCTTTCATTAGACCATTCTGTTAACAACATTAAACACTGGAAACTTATTTTACTATTCTTTCTTCATTTTTCAAGCCCAAGATCTATACGACAAAACTGAGATACAGTTTGGTGAAAAATTCCCCAAAGTAACCAACTACGCACGTGAAACCTCGTGCAAAACAAACACTCTGTAAACAAAGAATTCAGAAGAAATTACCACGCCGAAAACCTTTCACTCTTAAGTAAACCTTGCTGAAACTGTAAATGAAAGAATATGTAACTTTTGAGGTTCTACTCAAATTCGGTAGAGGGGTAACACTGGTTTATTATTGTGACATTGCGCGTGTGTATATGAGTGCGTGCGTGCGTGCGTATGCGTGTGTATTCACCGGTACATTTATACAAAAAAATTGGATTATACTAAAACGTGCAACAACTTAATATGTTGCAAGAGCATATATGTACATGTTAATACTGGATACATAATAACAATTAAACTATTCCCATTATTGTACATTTTCAAAACATTTTTGATTCGTTAACCTCATAATATTCAACAAGACTTTTATGTAATGCGTACATTATACAGCTTTTTTTCTTTCATGCTTTGTAAAGTTTCCCATATAAACATTCAAATTCACTTTTCAAGTTTCAGTTTTCCCATTTCGACTTGAACATTTTTCTCCCTGTGTTTCATGTTCAGCATGAAATCTTCAGAACAATGAAGCATTTTACGTAGAGCCAAAAGAGAAAGTATATCAACGTTGTCGTCAAGCTCAGCCTCGTTTTCGTAATTCTTCACCGGAAGTACGTTAGCACGTGGAAGACCGAGAAGTTGTGAAGCTTTATCTACTGATTGTTCCACTTTTGAACTGTAGAAAACCTGAGACACGTCCTTCTGAACGTCATTACAGAGCTTGTCCACCTTTGTCAGGAGAATAAGTTGTGGTATTCCTGAAAATTTACATATGGGAAACATTAGACGTACGAGTTACATTGACCATTAATCAAATGAACTTGCCTTAATACGAGAATAACACACATTTTTTAAATATAACAGGAATCTAAGAACGATGCAACAGCATTGTTGTGACAGCCATATGCAACAGAGAAGCTTTAAACGTAATGAAAATTTCACCTTTTACAAAAAGGTAAAAGGTTATATTTTTCATATCTTTGAAATCTACCTTTTTGATTCGTATGTCCACGGAGTCCTTTCATTTTCTCAACAATTTTTGTTGACAACACCTCTAATGTTGTAGAGTCAATTACAAACACTGCACAATGAACTTTGTCATTCCCAGTAGGGTCAGATTTGAACCCAGGAGATTCTGGAGTGATTGGTCTCGTTGGGTTAAACTAAAATTAGATATGCATTGATAAATTGACATTAAATGATATTTTGAAAATAAGAAAATTGAGAAAAAAGTGTCGCTAGAATCTTTGCTGTCGGATGAACTGTTTGTTCTTTTCCGGGTTGGTTTTAATTGGTTCTTTTTTTATTCTCTTTTTCTTCCTTCTGCTTTTTTATAATTTGTTTTTGAAATTGTGTTGGATTATCTAAATAGAGTTTATTATAAATTGAAATTTATATATTGCACTGTTATGTGTTTAGTATTTTCAGATACTCATTTATATAGAGGTTTCAACAAATGAATAAATATTCAATAACTTATTGAATAATACCTCGTAGTAATACGGTATGTTTCCATCTAGAAGATAATTACACTCTAGTACATCAATCCCCATAGTTTCTTCTAGACCACGTGTATCACACAACTGAAAGTTCAAGGTAGCCCCAGAACTAATTTCGATAGAATACGGGACAAACTGAAAGAAATATAGTCAGGTTACATTATGTAAGTCATTGTGAAGTCATCAATTCTTCACTATTTATGCTGCTGTCTTTGTTTTGTGTTATTGTTGCTTTTTCAATGGACAGGTTGTTGTAAATATGTGTTGTTTTCTTTTTAGAACGGGGGACGGGGAGTCGTTAAAAAAAGAATAAAAACTGTGTGCGGAGTATTATGTGCAGATGTCAATATTTAATCAAAGGTACTTACTGCAGTAGTGAGACTGTGCTCTGAACTTCCGCTGCTAGCTCGCTGTGTGATTCGGCCGCGGAAAATTGAATCTATAGTGTTGAAGAAGCTAGACTTGCCTGCACCAACTGGCCCTAACATCAAGATTCGAGCCTCGCTTACATTCGAACCTTGGATAGGTTTAAAGTTTACTATCTCTTCTTTGAGGTCATTATAAAACTGAAACAGTGAAAAATAAATAAGACTGGTAATTTTGTCCTTACAACAGCAAATCCTTTTCACTAAAATGTTTATATAAAACTACAGTTACAAAAAGGCATTTGTTTGTTTGTTTTTGTTTGTTTCATTTTACGCCTTTTCCCAACAGTATTTCAGTCATATAGGCGGTTAGTTTATAACCATCGTTCCTGGACAGTTACACCAGTACTAGACTACTTCCTCCGTGCTAAACAACCAAAGCATCTCCCGGGGATTGAACCCACGCCAGAGAGGTAACTGGATTAAAAGTCATCGACTCTAACCCCTCGACCACGTAGGCGGTCAAAAAAGGCATACATATGTACCCTTTTGTTTGATCATGAGACATACAAGTATGTACTTTTCATCTCAGCATGACACATATGTACTTTTTCTATTATCGTGACTTATATGTAATTTTTCTCTTATCGTGACACATATGTACTTTTTCCTTATTATGAGATATATGTACTTTTACTCTTATCATGAGACAAATTGAAAGCAGTTTCTCTCATACAAGCAGAAGAAAATGTCTCCCATTATTTTCCTTACATTTCTTACAAATTATGAGCTATCTATAAGGACAATTTTGCTTGAAACAACATCAATTATTCCCGCTGCCTTTAAATACCTCGACATTTCTTGAAATCACTTGTATATTATTAGTTATAAAGATCGTTGACAGGTTAAATGGCCCTATATAAACGGCTATTTTTAAGTATAACCCGAGCCGTCACTTTCATATTTAGATTTCATGCCATTATATACATATTTCTCACAATCTCCGCCAATATATAAGACCCAAGTCATCCCGCACGGACACAATAAACCCTACCTTCAACTACAACATCAATTAATCTTGAACTATCTTACCTTTTCGTTCCAGTCCTTTATTTTTCGCCACGGTGAAAGTTTTTTCTCTTTTTTCTTTGTACGTTGACCATCTAAAATATAATCTGTCAGAATAAGAATTGTACTATAAGTATATAACCATTTTACATATACATAAATAGTATATATCAAAATTATTATTGGATTAAACAATTCTACAAGTTTTACTTATGTCACGTCGTCAAATAACAATGATAATTCAGAAAGCATTGGTCTCACTTGTTTACTATGAACTTTGTAATAAAGTATTATTTCGTGTGGTAAGTAAAGGGGGGGGGGGTAAAAACATTTTCCATATTAATGAGTTTGTAATATGAAATATTGATATAAAAATCAAATTTTGAAAATATAATCAGGCTATGATGATGTTGACAAAGAATAATATTTGATAACCTGTTACCATGTAAACTTCAAGTTCAGTAACTTCCATTGTATCGTTGTTTATCTTGCCAGTGTTCATTCCCTTGTTGTTGAACACATTCCCAAATCCTGCCATGTTTCCATTTAATCGAAAAATGTTTCCAGATCTGTTTATGTTAGTATGAAAAGTGCTTAGATCATAACTTTCGCCGAAGATTGGTCCACAATTACTATTATGAGCAACCGCTTTGTCTGGCTGGTTTACTGGGAATTTATTCATCTTACAGCTTTCATTAAACATAAGCTGGTACAAAAACGCCTTATCGTCGTAAATGTATCTCCCTGGGTTTTCTTGCCAACTGACACTGGTATAAGCACCATAAACCGACCCATGTTGGTTATACAGAACTGTGACGGTGGCACCCTGGTTGTTACATTTCTGATGGAAAGTCTTAGGATCGCATCCATCACGTGTTATGGCATAGAGAAGTGTAAATGTCTTGGGTCCTGTACCTATCCATTGCTCGAGTTGGTCCATATATTTCTCTGTTAATTTTCCCTCCATTTTAACGACTGTTGAGTTGTCAATTATTACAATCAATGCCTGTGAAAGAAAAGAAGAAGGAACAACATTTTTTATAATTAATGCATGTACTCTCTTTAAGGCAGCAAACGTCGCATACATGATTTTATATATGAATATTTTTTTCACTTCTTGCATGAAACACAGCAAGTACATGAAGTAGATTCATTAGATTATCCATGTGATATTGAAACAAAATTGTCAAACTTCGGGCATTTACGTATACTCTGCTTTAAATGATATATGACGGAATAAAAGTGACATAGAGTTAGTTGTCTCATAAAATGTATAAAAATGTCTTCGTCGAATTCTGTAATGGCTTCCGTAGGTTGTTGAAACCGAAAGTAAACAAATACATGTATGGAATCATTTATGTGTTGATGTGTTGTTAATTGAAATAACTGATTGAATGAAGTCTAATAACAACTACATACCACGGCACACTAGTCAATAACGCATACTTAATCAATACTGAAACTCAAGACAAAACTTATTAGAAATGACCTAAAATCGAATCACACGATTGATAATACATTGATATGCTTAGTGCTAAGAATAAAAACAATTGGTTTTTTTACCCTTTAAATCATGGTAAATAATGCTGTAAATTTAAGTTCCTTTAAACGCAAATAAATATCATTTGGCACGATAAGACAGAAAGTGATTTACCTGTTTGTTTTCGTTTTCCGAAAAAAGGAAGTCACTAACCCAAAAGTCAATTTTCCAAAATTACGGAAGCCGTTGCAGGACATAATGGCTATAACTTGAGTAAATTATGTATTTGTTTTTGCTCATCAACCATGTTTTTGGTAATATCAAACCTTGAATTATAATATCTTGTAAAAATACATTTAGATCATAGATAGTAGAATATTATGGTCACAGATTTAGTAACTGTAAAGAAATAAAGATAAAACGCTCAAACCAAGGTAGATAAATACTACAAATCTATATTATTATCGTCATCATTTTGTTATTTCCCTTTGTTGCATGTAACGACTCAAGTGACGACAACGTAACAAACTAAGCCGAAATAAAAATGAATGTTTTTCGTGTTCTAGCTGTGTTATTTTCACTCAGTTAACTCGATGATATGCTCGGACTGATGAGCAAAAAGTATTATGTAATTGTGCTTTCTACTGATGTACATGTATAACAAGTATTTTTGCAATTATTTTACATGTTACTTCTAAAAGTGACATTATGCCTATTTTTTCAGTGTCGAATTGACATGGTGAATATCCATATCGGTACCCTGTTTGCGAAATTTACTAAAGCGGTACCCTCTTTGCAAATGCACAGGTCATTATCTGTTGAAAACAAGTAAGCGACATACACCAATCTAGTAAATGTTCATTCTACTGATAAAGGTTGTATGCCGAGTGGAAAAGAATGATACCGTGGAACACTAGAATGTTTTAACTATGTCATTCCAAGGAATGTGTCCATTATTCAATTACTGCAACTCCACAATAAGGTACACAAAATCGCGGCCACACCCACCGACTCGGCATGTTCTTTGGACCAAAATGAACCAATGTTTTAATTTTACATGCAATCATATTTTATATTATTCTCGGACAAATATAAATAAGGCAATAGAAAATAAATTCCCAGATTCTCATCCCCGCACGCCCGGCAAAAATTGCTTCGCCCGAAAAATTTTTATTTTCAAAAAAGAAAAAAGAAAGAAAGAAAAAAAGAAAAAGAAAGAAAGAAAAAGAATCAAGTTTTTAGCTTGATTATACTGTGTACTGAAAGTTATAATATAAGTGTATCATCATCTGTGCGGCCGAAAGTCCGTCAGTCTCGGTCCTGGCTGAATAAAGGTCGGATCATGTGGGCCGAGATAAAAAAATTTACCGTGAAAAATCCTCGGGCCCAATAAAATTTTTAAAAGCTAAAAATAACCTGTTTTGATAGTTAAAATGAAATGTGTTAAAGAACTTTAACTATATTGAAGTTTGAACCACAAAAAAACCATTTTAGACAAATCAAATAAACACTAAAACAGCAGTTCATAACAGCATCGGAAAATTTTGCCGTAAATTACAAATTTTGAAATTTTGTTTTACAATGCCCTTTGAAATAGCAGCTGAATAACAATTCAAAAATACTCATAAAATAATTAATCTGATAAAATCAAAATCAACAACAACTAGAATTGTGAATGGTTATGCAGGAAACAGACATTTTTTCGTTTGTCACATATTTTCGCGATGCCGATTTTTATAATACAAAAAGAAGTCACCAAAAGGAAGCCTTGTATTGATACAATTTGTCCAATAACACTTTAAATATAGTTTACTTATTAAATTTACTTACTGTATTGTTTACATTAGTTTAGAATGAGACATTTGCCAGTGTGTGTTGTGTAAGGAATATTTTCCTAAGGGAGGGGGTGTATGGAATCACAGATATATTATACAAGCTTCATGATGGAATTAATCAAGAAGAAACAGCAGAATCGGGAGTCTCAGGATTTTGAAAATCCTAGTGAGGACCATGATTATTTCTACCGTCCACATTTTGTTTTGTTTCTTCATTGAAAGCCAAACTAAGAAAAGCCGTCATTTTGACATTCACCCAGGTTGTTATCATATAATACTAGAAATGTCACGGTCTGAAATAATCATCTGCACAAAAAATAAATAAAGGGTGCCGGTCTTTGTGGCCTTAAAAATGAATTTCGATATATAGAAAATGTATAAGCTTCATGGTCAGCGTGCTGCTTGATTTTGTATGTAATCTTTATAATATCTTTAGTCATAAATAAGATAGCTTTTTAATATAATAGGTAAATCTCTGTACTTTCTTTGCCAAATTTTCAATAGCTTAGATGTTATTTTTGCAATGTGATATATAAATAGGATTGTCTTTTTGTCTAGCTTCATTGATTGAATTAATTAATTTACTCATGTAAAAGCACTTTTGATCGGCATAGACATAGTACATCTTTATTCAACTCTTATAAAATTAAGATGTCTTATTATGTAACAATACATGTAGATCTATATATTTTTTTTATTTTGTCAAAACATCAATTGGTTTGATGTAAAAATATAAAAGGTTCAATATAAACAGCTAGATCATTACAATCAAGATAATTATTATCATGTTGCTTCCATTCTCAATCTGAATCTATATATCTCTTACATACACATAATATTAGAACCTATTATATAGAACAAATTCCCAAATATTGACCTCTTCGTGTGTAATTCCAGACCGAGAATGGAAAATAAAAAATAAAAATTAAAATCCACCCACCCGCCCCATTTTTTCCCAAAATTTGGATGAGAATCTAGTTATTTATTTTCTATTGCCTAAAAAGTGGAAAATGTATTTTAGATTCATAAAAACACCTTACTTTCGGTTTCTCAGCGACACGGGTTACCTCTTGCTATTGATTTTTTCTGTCACATGTACTCTCCCATTTTGTTTAAAGCGGGTATAACCCTCTTAGTCCAAGAAATCCCTGCATAAAATAGGGTGAATTGTGCACCTCTTGTGAAAAGCATGAAACTTGGCATGGTGGCAGGAAATAGTATTTCAATTCATTTTAGCCTGGGATCCACTTTTTAAAAATCCAATATGGCCACCAAAATCCAAGATGGCCGCCATATATAAAAAATTCAGAATATTTGGGTATTACAGCTGTAGGCATACCTAGAATAGTATAAAAAAGCATCAGTTCATTATATTACAGATTAATATTCAGGCCTCTGATCCAGGTTGTGCAAATCCTAAATGACTGCCAAAATCCAAGATGGCCGCCATTTATTATTTTTTTTAAAATATTAAAGTTTTTCAGCTGTATTCTTTACAGGTCAGTATGAAAAAGCACCACTTTATTATATTACACATTTATATATATTAAAGCCTCGGATCCAGGTTGTGCAAATCCAAGATGGCTGCCAAAATCCAAGATGGCCGCCATATTAAAATTTTCAGAATGTAATAGTTTTCAGCTGTTGTCGTCATTACAGAACAGTATAAAATAAGACCAATTTAAAATTATGGTATTGCATATTTATTTATATTCAAGCCTTGGATCTGGGTTTTGCATATCCAACATGCTTGCCGAAATCCAAGATGGCCACCATGTTGAATTTTTCAGAATATGTTAGCTTACCGGCTGTAATCATTTTCAAATTAGTATAAAATAGCACAAATACATTATATTACATGTTTTTTAACCAAAACAATATGAAGAAAATTTTTGGGAGACGTATTGTATTTGCCTTCGCCGTCTGTCTGTCTGTCCGTTCGTCCGCATTTAGCTTGTCCATCCTTCACAGGTCAAAGTTCATGTGGGATTTCAACTTAACTTTACAGGAGTAATTAGTACCATCCCAAGTTGTGGACATCACGGTCACATTCCGCTTCGATGCACAAAATGGCCGCCAGAGCTAAAAGCAGAAATATCTTGCCCGGCCTTCACTGGTCAAACTTCTGGTTGAATATCAACCAAACTTTACAGGAGAGAGCAGAACTATCCCTAGTTATGCACACACATCACCAGCACATTTTGCTTCGCTGCAAATAATATTCGCCAGAGTTATAAATAAAAAAATATTGTCCGGCTTTCACAGGTCAAGTTACAGGTGGGATTTCAATGAAACTTCACATGGGTGACCATGCATAGTTTTGGGAGACATATGTTTTTGTGACAAAATCCATTTAGTTATGAAACTGTTTTAAAGCATCCGATTCATATTGAAACATTCTCATAATTAAAGTGCTCAGATTTTTTTAAAAGCATTATTACTTGATTTACGAAAACTCAAAAGAAACAAAAGAATATTTAATCAAAAAATGGAAGTTCAACCGTCTCATAATTTCATTATCTGCTCGTGAATAAAAATCTCTTTGCTAATTTTAGGTAATTTCAAGTTCAAGCAACTTGCAATCAAACTAAACTGAGCCTTATTCCAATGATATAATATGTAGCTGACCTGCTATTGGGCTATATTTTACCAACAGCTATGTAATTTTCCCTAAAAAGAAAACACTTCATAATAATAAGTTTAAAATATCAAACTTGAATAGTTTGTTGTTTTTTTTTTTTTTTGTTTTTTTTAGAATAATCTACTTCTTGTATTTAACAATCCTACATGTATAAATTATCAAATGTCGTCTAATAACAATTACTGAAAACCCCTAGGTCTCACTCGTTTACTTTGAATTTTGGAAAAACAATTTTATTTCCATGGAAAATCATGCTACAGTAAGTTTTAGTAAGAAAAGTTGGATAAATACATTATTCCATAAAATTGAGTCAATTTAGATTTTTGGAAATGAAATCAAATTTTGAAAATGTATAAATCAGGTTAGGAAGAAAGAATATTATTTGATATATTACCTGTTACCATGTAAACTTCAGGGTCAGTCACTTCCATTGTACCGTTGTTTATCTGTTTAGCTGACATTCCATGGTTGTTGTATGCAGTCCCGTATCTTCTCATGCTACCATTTAATGGAAAGGTGTTTCCAAATCTGTTTATTATGTTACCATGAAAAGTGTATAGATCTTGGACAGGGGGTTGGTCCATAGGTATTATTATGAATAACCGCGTTCTATGGCTGGTTTACTGGGAATTTATTCTTCTTACAGTTTTCACTAAACTTAAGCTAGTACAAAAACGCTTTATCATCTTTAACGTAAGCCCCTGATGTTGACTGCTAACTGACACTGGTAAAACCACCATATACGGACCCATGTTGGTTGTACAGAACTGAGACGGTGGCGCCCTGGTTGTCATTTAAGGCAACAAACGCCACATGCATGTTTTTATATATGAATACTATGGTGGCTGATTTGGTACATTGCACGTTGCGTTGTCGATAGCAACAACGCAACCTATATCGTTATCGCCTTTTCGTCTTATCGCTAGCGACAACACGACAAAGCACCAAACGGCGCGTTGTCGCGCTGTCGTCTTGTCCTCATGTCTTTAGCGAAGCAAGCCAAACGGCGTGTTGTCGTGCGGCGCGTTATAGCCAAAACTTCGATTTGAACCGAGCGACAATGTCACATCGCGACAACATGCCGCACGACAACGCGCCGTTTGGCGTACATAGTTAGCGACAGGACGACAAGACGAAAGTCCGACAACGCGACGTTTGGCGCTTTCTCCTGTTGTCGCTTGCGCAACGCGTTCCAAATCAACCACAATAGAATACTTTTTTCATTTCTTCCGTGAAACAAAGCAAGTAGCTTCATAAGCAATCGCAACCGATTGGCTTAATTAGATTATCCATACCATATGATATTGTAACAAAATCGTCAAAATTCGGGCATTTCCGTATACTCTACAATGATATATGCCGGAGTAAAGGTGACGTAGTCTTATAAATTATAAATGTTTGTCTTAAGAAAATAAATATTAAATCAATTGCTGTGTCGAGTTCCTAAATATGCGTGTCTATGGCTTCCGTAATCTACTGATAATGAAAGTAAACAAAATACATGTATAATCAAAGCACAGAAGACGCTGAAATTGTTTGGGTCTCAGAATGTCAGAAAGGTGAAGGTTTGTGAGATTATAAAACAATTTGTTTTTGTATAGTGCCACTAATGCTTTCCAGCGTTTTAATTGTAGTAGATTGGCTATAAGACTAATTGCAACACTGATATTCAATCCAATGTTTAATTTGAAAAAAAAAAGTTGCCTTAACTGGGAATTGAACTCCAGACCAGTCGCTTCCTATGCGAGCGCGCAACACGGACACGGTGAATTTATATGTTAACGGCATGAAGAAAATCATATTATTCTAAATTAGGGTTTGTAACGACGCTAACTTGTGTAAATAATCATGGCGCTTACTATAAGCATGTATATCTATAAAGAATAAAACAATATTAGAAATCTTCGACCATTCGGGAATTATTTTGCTTGAAAATTAATGCGCCTGTCATGTGACCATATTTACGCAGTGATCTCCCCTGAATTTTTCGGCCTTTGTGTTACATATTAAGAGAAGTAACCGCTTAAAAAAGCGGACTTCTTTCGGCATTTGCAATTAAAAGCATTAGAGTCTGAAATTTCGCTACCATTATTTGTTTGGTCTGACGACCCAAACAAATAAAAATCATTAATATGTTGATGTTTTGATATAAAAAATAACTTGCTTAATAGAGTCTAGTACAACAACTGCATACCACGACACACTTATCAATAACACATAATAATCAATGCTGAAACTCAAGACAAAACTTATTGAAAATGACGTAAAATCTAATTACTCAATTCGGAACGCACGATTGATAGAGTAAAAGCTATTATTTTCCCCTTTAAATCTTGGTATAATGTCGTTAATTTAAGTTATTTCACACAAATAAATATTATTGGGCACGATCAGAAAAAAGTTATTTACCTGTTTTCGTTTTCTAAAAAAGGAAGGCAGTACTCCAAAAGTCAATTTTCCAAAAATACGGAAGCTGTTAAAGGACATAATGGCTATAACTTGGGTAATAGCTATGGTGGCTGATTTTGAACGCCTTTGTGTGTCGTGTTGGCACTAGCGACAACAGGACAAAGCGCCAAACGGCGCGTTGTCGTACTTTCGTCTTGTCACATTGTCGCTCGATTCCAATCGAAGTTTTGGCTTATAAGCCAAGCGACAGGTCGACATCGCGCCGCACGACAACGCGCCGTTTGGCGTGCTTCGCTAGAGACAAGACGACGGCGCGACAACGCGTCGTTTGGCGTTTTGTCGTGTTGTCGCTAGCGACAAGACGAAAATGTGATAACGATATCGGTTGCGGTGTCGCTATCGACAACGCAACGCGCAGTGTACCAAATTAGCCACCATAACATAAACCAATCTAGTAAATGTTCATTCTACTGATAAAAGAATGTATGTCGAGTGGAAAAGAATCATACCACGGACAATAAGTGAGCTAAAGTCATAGTTTATAGTGTAGTTATAATTTATACAACAGATAACAAAATAAAATATGCCTATTTAGTAGATGTAATGTTATGAATAAATTATTCACAAATTATACAATTAAATAGCACAGTGCAAGAAACAGACTTATAAATGTACCTTACTGTTGGATCGGCAAAGTATGACTTGAGATGTATATGTTATATATTATTGTAAAATTTGACAAATATCTGCGTATGAAGTTAGTGTCCGTATTAAAGTACTTGAATTATTGCACAGTACACGGACAATGGACAGACAGAACGGGGTAGACTTGGATCCTCTCTTACGATTTAGTTTATACAGTATTTTTCATTTAGTAGTGTTTATTAATATGTTCAATTACAAATATATTTCTAGTCATGAACTTAGAAAATTTTGCATTATCAAGGCTCTTTTACTATCAAGCACTAAGAATAGTCGAGCTTGCTGTCATACTGACAGATCTTACAACGATACGTCAGCAACAAATGCTTTGTTTTTATACAAATTTTAAACAATCACGAAAATACAATTTTATAATAACATTATATTATTCATATTTATCATTGAGTATAATACTGAATTATATAATAAATCATAATAAATAAGTACAGAGTTGTCGATTTGTTGTTGTTTTTTTTTTTTTTTTTTTTTTTTTTTTTTAATTATTTTTTTTTTTTTTTCTTAAATTAATTTGTCAAAATAATTTCAATTGCACTTTGAATGGTGTTTAATTTTGAACTTTTGATTTGAATTATATGGCCACAGATGAATAAAACTAGGCTCGACAAAGTACAATGATGAATTACTATGAAATTTTCTACCTCGGAAATTGAAAACGAGGGAAAACGAGGGAAAATTGAAGCAATGATTTAAATAGGGACATCAAATGGTGCAAACGCTTGAAGTTCATTGGTTACCTTTATATGTTGTGAAATAAATTTTGTTACCATTTGCCAAAAACGATACCTTATGATGTTGATTCATAAACATTAAAGAGTTAAAATGTTATAATTTTCTACGAATTGTAATGTTGTCTTTTTTTGCATATATATGACTCAGTTTAAACAAATGTAGTACTTTACATAATTCTTGTTGTAATAAAGCATCTTTGAACTACATTAAAACAATAGAGGGGCCTTGTTTATGTTGTTAAACTTTTGCCCCAACCTTTTTGCATATTTACATTTATGTTATTATGTATTATTGCATTTTATTGTGTGTGTGCATGCATGTGCCTGTGTGTGCACCGGTACATATATACAAATAAAAATGGGATTACACTTAATGTGCAAATGTTTTTATGTATTATTGCACATTACTGTGACATCGAATGTGTATATATGTGCGCGCGTGCATGTGAGTGTGCATGCGTGTGCTTGTGTGTGCACCGGTACATATACACATATACAATAAAATGGGTTAACACTAAATGTGCAAATATGTTGCAAGGACATACATGTACATGTAAATATAGGTACATTTTCACAATTAGTCTAGTTCCATTATTGTACATTTTCAAAATATTTTTGTTTTCGTTAAGTTATTAATATGCAACAAGAATTTTATGTTATGCGTACATTATACAGCCTTTCTTTTTTCTTTCATTTTTTTTTTGTAAAGTTTCACATGTCACTTTTCAAGTTTCAGTTTTCCCATTTCGACTTCAACATCTTTCTCCCTGTGTTTCATGTTCAGCATGAAATCTTCAGAACAATGAAGCATTTTACGTAGAGCCAACAGAGCAAGTATATCAACGTTGTCGTCAAGCTCAGCCTCGTTTTCGTAATTCTTAACCGGAAGTATGTTAGCACGTGGGAGACCCAATAGTAGTGAAGCTTTATCTACGGCTTCTTTTACTTTTGTACTGTAGAAAACCTGAGCCACGTCCGTCTCAACGTAATCACAGAGCTTGTCTACCTTTGTCAGGAGAATAAGTTGTGGTATTCCTGAAAGTTTATATATGGGAAACATTAGAGTACGTGTTACTATAACCGAGATTGGAATTCCACATGCATCAAATGAACCTACAAATCTTTTCAACATGACAGGGATCTAAGAACGATGCAATAGCATTGTAGAAATAGTCAAATGCAATAGAGTAGAAAAGCTTTAATTTAATGAAAATCTAACCTTTAACAAATCTTACATATTTTGATAACTTTGAAATCTACCTTTTTGATTCATAACTCCACGGAGTCCTTTCATTTTCTCAACAATTTTTGTTGACAACACCTCTAATGTTGTAGAGTCAATTACAAACACAGCACAATGAACTTTGTCATTCCCAGTAGGGTCAGATTTGAACCCAGGAGATTCTGGAGTAATTGGTCTCGTAGGGTTAAACTAAAATTAGATATGCCATGATAGATTAACAAAACACGTTTATTTTGAAAAGTAAGAAAATTATTTTTGGAGGGTTGTTGTTGCTGTTGTTTTCTTTCTTTTTTTGTTGTTGTTTTGGGTTGTTTTTTTTTTTAATAAGGTTTTGAAATTTAGTTAGACTTGATAAATGTACTATAATACATTGAAATTTACATATTGCACAGTAATGTTTTAATGTTTTCAGCATATAGTGGTTTCAACAATGTGAAGAACTAATTGAATAATACCTCGTAGTAGTACGGTATGTTTCCATCTAGTAGATAGTTACACTCTAGTACATCAATACCCATAGATTCTTCTAGACCACGTGTATCACACAACCGGAAGTTCAAGGTAGCCCCAGAACTAATTTCGATAGAATACGGAACAAACTGAAAGAAATATAGTCAGGTTACATTATCTAACTCATGGTGAAGTCATCAATTCTTCACTTTATTGTCTGCTTTTGTTCTTTTGTTTCATTGTTGCTCTTTTGATGGAAGAAGTGGTTGTTATTTTTCATATGTGTTGTTAAATCTTTAGAACGGTAGTTGTGGAGCCTTTATTTAAACAAAAAACTTTATGCGAACTAGTATGTGCAGATCTTGAAATTTCATCATAGGTACTTACTGCAGTGGTGAGACTGTGCTCTGAACTTCCGCTGCCAGCTCGCTGTGTGATTCGCCCGCGGTAAATTGAATCGATAGTATTGAAGAAGCTGGACTTTCCAGCACCAACCGGTCCTGTCATCAAGATTCGAGCCTCGCTTACATTCGAACCTTGGATAGGTTTAAAGTTTACTATTTCTTCTTTCAGGTCATTATGAAACTGAAACAATAAGCACTTGATAAGACTTGTATATTTCGTCCATATAAGGCATTTTTTTTTCATTTCAGTTCATTACATTTAAACTACATTTCAGAGGAGGTATCAATATGTCTTTTTTCTTTAATCAGAAAAGTGAGACATATATACTTTTTCTCTTATCATGAGGCATATGTACTTTTTCTATTATCATGAGGCATATGTACTTTTTCTATTATCATGAGGCATATGTACTTTTTCTATTATCATGAGGCATATGTACTTTTTCTCTTATCATGAGGCATATGTACTTTTTCTATTATCATGAGGCATATGTACTTTTTCTCTTATCATGAGGCATATATACTTTTTCTCTTATCATGAGGCATATGTACTTTTTCGTTTATCATGAGGCATATGTACTTTTTCTATTATCAAGAGACATATATACTTTTTCTATTATCAAGAGACATATATACTTTTTCTTTAATCATGAGACATATGTACTTTTTCTTATCATGAAACATATGTACTTTTTCCCTTATCATAAGACATATGTACTTTTTCTCTTATCATGAGACATAAGTACTTTTCTCTTATCATGAAACATATGTACTTTTTCCCTTATCATAAGACATATGTCCTTTTTCTACTATCATGAGACCTACGTTCTTTTTCTATTATCATGTGACATTTGTGTTTGTTTTTTTTTAATCATGAGACATATATAATTTTTCTATTATCATGAGACATGTGTAATTTTTTCTTATCATAAGACATATGTACATTTTCCCTTATCATGAGACATTCGCACTATTTCTCTTATCAGGAGACATATGTACTATTTCTCTTATCATGACACATATGTACTTTTTCTCTTATCATATGACATATGTGCATTTTCCCTTATCATGACACATATGTAGTTTTTTCTTTTATCATAAGACATATGTACTATTTCTCTTATCATGAGATATATATACTTTTTCCCATATCATGAGACATATAAACTTTTTCTTTGAT